TTAAAGGTACACTACGAAGGATGTTTACAAATTTCAACCCCTAAGCGTATCATAGTACCTCTCTTCCTATGTTGTGGTTAATTAATTTTTATATACAAATAATATATTTATATTTTTTTCCGTCTCTAAGTACGACTTGAGCCATGTATAGAAATTTGAAAATTTTGGAGGGTTTGCAATATACCTGATCGAATACCAAGCAGACCAAATTGTGTGCAACCATCAGCCAGTTACAGATGTACCTACTTCATGACAGTCAAATTCTGAAGATGCACAAAGGGCTTTAGAGCTTTTTCACACGAGCTACACCTTGTAACGCTTCCGTTGCGCTACAGTAGCGCGACAGTTGCTAGTTCGTATGTATAATGAGCGGTTTTTTGCAGCGCTTTGTTGTTGTAGCCGATGTATACTTCGTTTAGTTTCTCTAACGATGTGACCTTTAGTTTGACCGGCGCGAAGTAGAAAAGAACAGCACTAAGCCAGAAAAGAAAGGAGACAACCCTCGGCCAAACTCTTAACCGGTGGGGGTTGTATAATCCGTACAGTACTGCACGGAAAAATTGATCATTTTGTCCACTAAAACTGCATTGCACAAATGTGTTGTTATTGGTACCATTTACTACTGAAAATACCAACGAGATGTTTATTTATATTTGAAGACATATTAAAGGCTTTAACGCTTGTTTTCGACTCGCACTACTATCATGATTGAACAAAACTTTTAGCAGGTACTGTATGAAAAAATATGTTTAATAAATAAGAGTCGAGAGTATAACGAGCTTTTTTCTCCCTACCTACGATTTTGCCAGCGCGCATCCAAGACATTGGAAGAGGCACATTGCTAGAGAGAGTAAATGAAATATAGTAAGGTATCTATTTCAAATTTAAAGAAACTACAGTTGTTAAAATGAAGTCGCAGAAGAAAGACGGGGAGGAGCTTGCTTTATTAGCGCTTCTGACAAATAACACAAAAAAAGAAGAATATAAAGAATCGGAAATATTGATGGGTCGATCCTTACAACAGCAATCGATTGATAAAAGCATTTCTATATATCTTTCTAAGATTTTTTTTTATACCTCTCTTAGTATATTTAGTTCCGCTTTATTTTATCATGAAAATGTAAAATTGCATTTGCAATTCGATATCACAAATAGTTGATATTAGATGGCTAAAATAAAACAGTGAGTGAGTGCCGTAATGTAACAGATTTATGTTACTCATATTTTTTCAGAAATGGCATGTAAACAATGCTCTAGCTTTGCTTGAGTCTTAAATGAAAAAACGGACAAGGCGAATGAATTTGCTGCAATACGTTTTATGATGAAAAAGGATGAATAATTGTAGAATCATTTATTACGTTTTTTACTTTTTTCTTCAACGTATATTTTCTTAAAAAACACAATAAAGTTGACATATGGGTTTGATATAAACCCATTTATGCAATCAAATGAGTATATAGGTCCAAAAGAAAAACTCTTATTGATGTCTTACTGATAATCAATATGCAGCCGAAACTATGTTGTCGATTTGAATTAACTTTTGACAGAATTTGCTAGTAAATATCGTGGAACAACCGTTATTTTCATACAGTTTAATGGATAAGTGTTTAAAAGCATCTCTGGAATGTTTGCCTGTTTCAGAGGAAAGCTGCTTCGGATCGTTTGGACCAAGACCGTACTAAAAAATGAGAGAGTATGTTGTTGGGCACGTAAGATGAAAAATAAACATTACTTTTTATTTGTATCATTAATAGGTAACGATTAAAGAATAAATAATATACTGGTTACAGTCCTGATCTGGATCTATATATTGACCCGAGTATTTTTGTAGTTATAACGCAAATTTTTAGACTATTTTAAATTTTATAAGTCTGAAGTCCGAAATATGGTGTTACCGGTGAATGATGAGGATACCGTGGATAGAGAAGATTAGAAATGAAAAGGTATTAGAAAGAATAGGACATCTTTTTAAACATGAAGGTCTAGTCAGAGTCATATTAGAGGCAGATACAGGAGTTATAAGATTAGATTACTATTTCCAAATGGTTAAGGATGCGGGATGTTCTAGTTTTAAGGAAATGCGAAGATTATCTCAGAACAGGAAGGAACAGAGGTGCGTGTCCAACCAGTTTTAGGACTGACGACCTTATGATGATGAAGTCTGAAGTTTGTTACTGTCGACATCTTGCATGGACCTGTACATATTTTGCTTTTTTACATTTTTCATATATTTAAGGAATAATAGCTGACATTTCGAGATATAGACCTTTTTTTCCTGATACTGGCGATGAAAGAAGGAGTATGTCAAAATTGTCAACACGAAAGCACATGAATGTTAATATCAAATAAAATACTCTCAATTTTTCTGAAAAGTTCAATGGAAGTGAAGACGCATTTTTAATGTTTTTGTTAGCGAATAGATTTCAGGTTTATTCTCACTGCATAAATTAGGCTTGAAAAGAGTTTGAATTCACTCGTGTTAAAATAAATTCAATGGTTTTCATAGCGGACACCAAGACAATCTGAGCAAACAAGAGCTTTTCTAATACAATAAATCAGTTTTCACGAGTATTTTGTTTCTGTAGATGAATGGCTTTGTTAAGTATTTAATCGAGTTGAAGATATTATTTAGAGTCAAACATGACTTAGTTCAATTAACACAAACAGTTGCAGCTTGATAAAATCGGTGGAGTGAAATAAAAGTTTGCGATTCGCATTCTGAAAGAAAAGAGTTTCTTAAAGCGTGATAATTGCGTTATTTCGCACTACAAAATCCCTCTTTGTTTGCTTTAGCCTGAGCTAGACATTTATTTTTTACTTTGAGGAAATGAAAGTCTTTATTTGTCTACCCAAACAATGACCATTCGTCAAGGAGATAATTCTTTCCATTAAACCCTCCTCATTTCCGCCTTATAGACTACATCCCAACGTCTAACAAATTAAGTTACAGCTGTTCGCCTAAATAAGCAAGAAGAGAAAGATAATTTGTTATTTGGGCCAGTAAAAGCTCTGTCAAACAGAGATAATATTGGCAAATAGAGCAGCACTCATTGATCGGTAATTAGTTAAATCCAAAAGAAATGAACTGAATAGGAGACCAAATTTTCTGAAAAATTTTGAGAAGGTAATAAAATTATCTGATTTCCGTATTTGTTCCAACGTCCTAATAATGACTGGGGGCTAACACTACTTTTAGGCTAACTTAATTAATCAAACAAACAACCATTTTGTCAAAAAACTATTTTGTTTAATGATGGGAAAAAAGTAGGATAATTATTTGTTATACAAATTATACAGCATTTAGATTACTTTTTTATTTTTAAATTCAATGAATAATATACAGTGTAAACTTTATATAACGACAATTAAGGGACTGAACATTTTTCGGCGTTATAAAGAGTGGTCGTTAAATGGAGAGAAATAAAAGATTTTATTTTACTATTCCATAATAATATGCATTTACCAATATAGTGCACACTTTGCACACGAACATTATTATTCATACATTGCGTATAGCCTGTTATCTTCGTCTGATGTTTTTTGCTGCTCCAATATTTTAATTGTATTTTGTTACGTATCTTACTCATATCTTGAGATACTGCTGGATCAATTTGATTATATAAAAAGTATTTTTTTAATAGTTTCGCTGCATCAAGTGCTTGTTTGATGCTTGGTGGAGGGACAGGATCGTCTTCTTCAACAACGTACACAGCTGCAGTTCTTATCTATTTCGGCAACTTAGAATGTACTGCTTAATGATTTATAATGCCGCATTGTTGTCGTTAAATAGAGTGAGCGTGACGCTATATAGAGTGTAATATTGTATAGAAAACAATGTAAACCAGCTAAAGTCAAGCAATTTCGACGTTTTAAGGAGTTTGTCGTTAAATCGAGTGACATTATGAAGAGTTTACACCGTATTTATTCATTGTCTTCAATGGGGTCCTTTATATCCCTCGGGGCCCTGGGCTGCAACCCAAAAAGCCCATATATAGATCCGATTCTGTATTTTACTCCTATTTATGTGCTTTTGTGTATCTTTTAATGTCCATTGGAAAATTATTGTACTTTTTCACATGACAAATTATTAGGAATTGTTTTCTACATAAGTCTTAATATGCGTATGCGCTATTAATTATACGTATTATTATTATTAAGACAAAAGAGAAAGCAATTTTATTTTACTTTTGCTCCTTGGAAAATAATGGTAAACAAAACAAAACACATTAAAATTTCGCAATAGTAAGGATAGATTGGAAATTGCAAGGTTACAAAACAAAGTAGACGTTACATATTAACTAAATCAAGCCAAAAAAATAAGAACCGATCTCTTTAGAACAAGACTAAGGTAAAGATCAGAGATGTGCAAAATAGTTTTTTAGAAGTATTTAACTAATTAAATTAATTAAATAATTCTTCTTTAGGCTTTCTTATTTGCCTTTGTCACCCGTTTTAATTGGGGGAAAGACAAGATGGCAGAATAGTTTGTTTAGCGTGAAAGATTAAAGCCAAAATAGGGTTGCAAATAATTTTATTGATGTAAAATAAACAATCATTTTATATCAAAATACCTACAGCCCCATTTTGTTTCTAATCTTTTACATATTGTAATAAGAAAAACAAATGGAATTCATAGTTTCTTTAGCTTTGCATTCATATAATAAGTGAAATTTTTCAAAATCAACATACAGCAAAAACTAACCATAGCCTAATCTTCAAAAGTTGCATAAAATTAAATACAAAAAGAAATAAAATTTAATCATGTCAATATCTGTATGAATGGTACTGCTACAGATAAGTACCATGAATCTAAGGATATTACATTACAACCCAGTGTATTTTCATATTGATAAAGCATTATCAGTTAATCAACCAGTATTTACGCAATACATACTTTACTTTGTTTACATTTGTTAAAATTGCTTATAAAAGAAGAAAAACCAAAATTAAGTAATAAATTGTAAATGACTATATTTTACAATCTGACAACAGTGCTTTGACCCCACTTCTTAAATTCTTTTTAAAAGTCGGAAACTTGTGTAATATCAGTCATAGTTTGCATTTTTACAGTTCGTTCAGTAGTAGTGAGTTGCTCGGGGTATTAACGTGACGTTTCGGTAAAGCTCGTGGACATTTCGTTCGCTGTTTGTGATAAAGTAATAGCACTATTTAGATGTAATGATATTTATATCGGTCAAGAAAGCTGCAGAAGTATGATGAGGATATTGTAGGTGAGTTGGATTTTGCAGTTGTAATGGTATCAGAACGTATTGATTTAAAATTTTCTGATAAAGGAGAATATGAAGTTCTCATGACTGAATAAGTAGTACCTACTTATAGTATGTATGTTGCATTATTGTGTAAGTATTGGCAAATAAACCAAAAACAGTGTAAACTCTTTATAACGTCACTCGATTTAACGACAAACTCCTCAAAACGTCGAAATTGCTTGACTTTGGTTGGTTTACATTGTTTTCTATACAATATTACACTCTATATAGCGTCACGCTCACTCTATTTAACGACAACAATGCGGCATTATAAATCATTGAGCAGTACTTTCTAAGTTGCCGAAATATAAAGAACTGCAGCTGTGTACGTTGTTGAAGAAGACGATCCTGTCTCTCCACCAAGCATCAAACAAGCACTTGATTCGCGATATGAAACATGTTGAAATACACTAAGGTTAAGGATAGGTGGATTTTTCACTTACAATTTTTTATAAAACGTATAAAATTAATAATTCCTGATAAAGAAAAGTGAAATGTTCTCTTTCTGAGAACCTGAACCCTAACAATATACTTGTAATTTGCAATACAATAATCACCTGTAATAAATAAGCCTTTAAACAAGAACCAAGATTACAGTAACATGAAAGTTGAATAAGTTGGATAAATTTAGTTAGATATGATATCAGAATGCCCAATGATAAAATGGTAGAAGAGGATTTAGAAATTGATGATCCTTTTAATCTTTTCAGGCGATTTCAGATTTAACTTGTATTTGTATTTATAAATACATTGTCCTTTAGTTATAACAATGTGTAGGTATGCTTATTAAAGTTTGACGAGCTTTTGTTCAGTTTTAGTCAGGATGAAAATTTCACGTACCTATTTTTGATAGTGTAGTTCTCGTTTGTTCGCTACAAACTTGATACTTGGGAAAACTTGCAACATTGTTTTTTATCAGAATTTGATTATAGCTTCAGTGTTATTAGTATTCTTTGCGCGTTGAGAGTTGCTGAAATTTAAATAAAAAATAAAAAGCCTGCCAGGATTTAGTCAGAGAGAAACCAAAGAATTTTATAATTAAGGAGAGACTTTTGTACTTGAGGGCTTTTCTTTGGAAGTTACATGAAAGAAGGCGGAAAAGATATTTTCTGCTATGTTGGCTTGATGCCTTCGTAAACGCGGTAAAATTGAGGTGGAAGCAATAAAAATCGCCAAGATTCTAGAAAGAACAAGAGAAGTTACCTCTTTATTAAAATTTTTATTCCTGCTTTTCGTTTAATATTTTGACAGACAACAAAATCGGGACAACTGCTATAGTTAATTGAATTGTACCGTATTATTTTCACAAGATCAGTGGTGTAGCTAGAAATGTTTATGAGGAACTAAATAAAACTATTTATTTCCCAAAATTTCACAAATACGTTTAGCAAGGTGTTTTCTCAGCTGGAGTTTCAAATTGCTTTAAACAGTTCTTTATTTACTTTAGCACTTATTGATAAAGCAAACATGGATTTTTAAAAATATGTATATCATTTTATGATTTTCTTGCCTATGTTTGTTGATCCGGCCACTGAAAGGGCTTTTGTGCCCGATTAAGTTCTAGAAGAAGGAGGTTTTGGTGTGTGTTTGCCCGGAGAATTTTAAATCCCGTTTTTCCGCGAAATGGTCGATAATTTTTTTATTAACAGTTTAATTGTTTAAAGCGCCATATTGTATCAATATATATAAAAATTGATAGCTCTACTTATGATAAATAATAGCCTTATGGTTATGAACAAATTAATTTAGTATTTTTCATGAAAAAAAAAATGAAATGGTGCAACTTCTTATTAAAAAAAAGTTTTTTTTTGCATCTCCTTTTAAAACTTATATCATGTGCATTAAAATGAGAGGCTATAGAGCTTTTTATCTTAATTAGAAGCCGAGTTCTGGGTGATGATAATAATTTTTATATTATTGTACCTATCTACTTAATTTACAATATCTTCGGCTCTAATTAATATTTTTTAATAAATATCGAACAAGGTGGTTTCTAATGCGTACAGATATCGATTTATATAGTTTTCAAATTGATTCCAATATATGACGCTTTAAACAATTAAATTGTTAATAAAAAGTCTTTGACCATTTTTCGAATACGAATTCTGCAGATAAACATAAACGAAAAAACTAATAGGTCACGAAAACCCACTCAGCTACCGGATTACCTACTTAAGAACAATTTCCGACTATATTGCTGATATTTGAGTATATTTATTAAACCTGTATCGATAGTAGTACGAGGTACGAGTAATACATTGCAGTCAAGGAATATGTTGACAAATTTTACATCTTCATTTACTAGTCTCATGAGGCAAAACTCCTGTTACAACTAGGTCGTTATAAGGAATGTAATAGCTATGTATCTGCAAGTTTATAGCTTAATTAAACGGAAACTTGGATGAATTTGGTATATGTACTGTTATGTTCTAATACTATAAACACCTTTTTTACTTTCACGTCATTAGTAGTTAATGACCCATAATAATATAAGGGACAGATAGTAATTGTTAAGTTAGTTCTAAGTTTGGTTTTGTACCTCTTTGACCTCTTTTTAATAAAGTCTTTTCAAACGTTTAATCCTATTTTGTATAACATCGACTTGGTTCGATTGAGTGTTATCAAAGGGTTAGTGTTCGAAATAAGAAGACTTTACAATTGTTCTATTATTGTCAAAACTCCAATTATTTTACATTGAAAGGCAACGTCCTGGTGTAAATTAAAGGTGTCTTTTACAATAATTAAGTAGAACACCCAGTTAAACGTGTCTGGGATAAAAACAACGTATTGTACGCCGACCATAAGGGATCCTTCGGACCAGTCCTCAGCGTCGTGACGTAACAAAATTGGCGCAGTCAGTAGGATCTTCAGAGGAATTTCTTCGAAGATCAACGCTAGTGATTCGAAAAGGTTTTGCAGAGATTCATCTTCAATCTTTCACCATACCGGTCACTAGAGGGATTCAGAGAAGCTGTCACAACCACATCCACCCGTGACTAAATTAGCTGACGAGGAATTCCAAGAGAAATCAATTCTATGCATCGGGCATCTTTTCTCCTAATCATCTGGTGAGTAGTTTTTAATTGTATCCAGTGCTTTAAACGAATTTATTATGTCTTTACAACCGGAACAATCACAAAACGCCACCAGTACAAATAAAATTTCAGACTCAATTTTTACAACATTGTTGAATAATTTACCCGTGTTTAATGGAGGTGAAAATGGTATTTCCTTAACTCACTGGTCTAAAGTTTTAGATAATTTAATTAATTTATGTAATGATTCTCAAAAAGATATCGTAGGGAATTTCATTCTCGCAAAAATTCAGGGTGAACCCCGTAGATTATTACAAAATCGTAGTTTATATTCAATAACAGATATTCTTGAATTTCTCATAGACACATATGAGGACGATAAATCTTTTGAACAGTATGTGTTAGAAATGTGCACCATGGTTCCAAAAGATAATTCGGCCCAAAATTTATATCATGATGTTGCTAAATTAGAAGACGCAATTTTAAGGTCCACTATTCCTGACAAAGTCTCAGACTTTGTAGAAAAATTAGCAATTTCTGCTTACCTTTCAAAATTACCCCCTACAATCAGTAATATTTTACAAACAAAAAATTTTAAAACTTTACGTAAATGTTTCGAAGAAGCTAAAAATATTGAAAAAGGATTTAAATTAAGACAAGTCAATAACGCTGTCTCTAGACAACTTAGAGGTGAAAATCCCCCTAAAACTGATAAAATTAGAGAAAAACCTAAGAAGGAAAATTATGATCAAAATTTTAAACCTAAAACCCCCCTTCAACAAAAAGATACAAAAATAATTATTTGCGACCATTGTAAAAAACCTGGTCACAACCGAGATTCATGTTTTAAACTTAAGAAACAACAAGTAATAAAATTATTAGCCGAAATTTGTTCAGACGAGGATTCTGAAGAACCATCTAGTTCATTAAATTCTCAATTGCAAAATTTAAACTTATTCACGGAGGCGCAACAGGAGAGCACCGACTCCGACGAATAAAAGACTCTTCAATTCCCAACAGTAACTTGATTAAATTATCACTTTTTAATATTAAGTCAAATGACGGATTACCCCTAATCAAAGTTAAATTATTTCAGAAAGATTTAGAATTACTTATAGATTCAGGAGCTTCAGTGAACATATTACAAAAATTTGATAATTTGCCAGAAATTAATAAAACAGATAAAATAGAGTTACACGGTATAAATGGTCAACCCTTTTTCTCTGAGGGTACAATTCAAACGAATATTTCGAGTGTACCAATAAAATTTCACATTTTAGAAAGTAACCTTCTAGGCGTAGACGGTATTATAGGAACGGAGTTTTTAACCTCCACAGGTGCTTTAATTAATTATCACAAAAATTACCTCAAAATTCCATCGCAGAAAATGTGTATTCCATTACACTTCATTAAAAATAGGCAATTTGTACATCTATTACCGCGTCAAGAACAGGTCGTAAAATTACAATTACCACAATATGAAGTAAACACCGACTATCACTTAGAAAGTTTTAATATTGATGATAAAATATTATTCCCAGAATGTTTTGTACGGACTAATGAGCAAAAGGTAATTTATTTAACATGCATTAATTTGTCTGACAAAAACGAACAAATAGAACTTGATCACTTACACTTAGAACCTATTAGTAAACCAAATATTAACAACATTAAGTCATTTAAAAATTTGGCGATTTCAAAGAAACAAAGAATAGAAACATTAATTAAGCAAATTCGTTCAGACCACCTTAATGATGAAGAATTAAAATCAATCATTGAATTAATTTCTAAATTCCCCGACATTTTCTATTTAGAACAATACGACACACTTACTTCCACTGACATAATTAAACATAAAATCATAACAACAGACGAAGTACCTATTGTTGCGAAAAATTACCGCTATCCACCTTGCCACAAACAAGA